TTAATTAATATAAAAAAATTTTTTAATATAAATATTAAATATTTGAAAAAAATAAATAAAAAGAGAATATTTATAAGTTAACAATTAAGTATAATTTGCATTTATTTTTATTTTATAAAAAAAAAAAAATATTTTACTCTCAAAAGTAGAGTGTTGACATCGAAAATTAAAAAATTCTTAAAAATGTTTATGACATCATGAGTTTCGTTTTTTTTTTTTTTGTTTATGTCATTAATGTATAGGATCAATAGGAGTTTTGAATAGTGTTATTGTTTTACTTCAAAAAAAAAAAATGAAATGTAAATAAAATAAAAAAAAAATTATCAATGAAACGTCATAGTTTTCTTCCCTTAATTTAATCCATTCTGCCATTTTTTTTTTTTGTTTTTTGATGAACAGATTATTTAGGAAAAAATAATTTCAATAAAATTTCATTTATTCTTTAAAAGAAATATTATTGTTTTTTGCATTTTTAATTTTATATTATGAAAATTCTATGATTATGGTTATATAGTTTGGTCATTGCTTTAATTAAATTTTTTTTTTTTTAAATTTTGTCCTTTATTAAAATTATAAATATAATTTAGTTTAAATAAGTATAGTTTTTTGTTTTTTATATATAAATTAAAAAAAAAAATGTTATGTTTCTCTAATTTCGAATATGTATTTGACAATTTTCTTATCAAATTTTCACAGAATGACATTCAGATGTCATGCTTAACATCTGTTGCAAATGAGATTTGTTGATAATTATTTACCGTTATTTTGAAAACCACTGAAATTTGATGTAATTTGATGACGTTTATCATATTTGACATTTATTGTCATGCTTGACATTATTTGTCACAATTTACATTTATTTGATATTATTGACATTTGCTAAATTGAATATTTTTTGTAAATATGACAATTAATTTCACTGGTTTGACATTTATTTATGAAAATTTTTGGCTTTAAATTTCAAATACATATTCGAAATTAAAAAAAAAAGTTAATGTTTTTTTTTTGCAGCGAATCTAAAAGTCAGACATTTTTTATTATATTTTCAAATTAGTACAAAATTTCGATTCATTAATATTGAATAAATTTTTCTAAAATTCGATTCTTTTTTATATAAACAAAAATTTAATCGATTTTATTTTTTTTTTTGTAATCGATTTTTTCTATTAATTTTTTTTTTTTTAAAATAATAGACCGTTCGTTCATTCTCTCAAATATATAGTATGTATTATTCTATTACGAATAAATTAATAATTATAAAAATATAAAAACTTAAATATAAGTATATTTTATAATTCACAATATTTAATAAAAGGAGATTAAATGTATATAATTTGTAGATATGTATGTATTTTAAAAATTGGTTTAAAATTAAATTATTTTATTTCATATATTTTTAAGAAATAAGATTGTTAACATAAAAATTTAATAATTCTCTACTCTATAAATGGAATTTGAAATATTTTCCAAAAAAAAATTAAGATTAGATTATACTACACTCTAATAAAGTTCAAATTGATAACCAAAAATTTTTTACAATTTAAATTAATAAAATAAATAATAAATAAAATGGGAAAAATTTTGAAATTTCAATTATTTGTAAATCTCATAAAGCTGTAGCCCTTGCAGTTTTTTTTATAAATTTTTATATTATAAACGCCCATACTAAGTTTATTTAAATTTATTATACATAAAAAAAAATCGAAATAAAAAAATCGATTTATAAAATAAAAAAAAATAATTAAAAGTTGATCTTTAGCATTTTAATGAGTTAAACGGAACGTTTTTTTACTTCGATCGTAAATAGCACAATAGTTAACGATTGTGCATTATAACTTTTTACTTTAAATGATTTTAATAACAATCGGGTAGCAAGTTGTTGAATTAATAATAATCGGGGATATTTTTGTTTTTTTTGTTAATGCAATTGCAATATAATTGTTTTTTAATTTACGTTTTAATTAAATAATTGAAGAGTGTAAAGAGTGTAATTTTAACAATTAAAGAGTGTGGAAAATATTTTACTTACTCTATTATGAAGCATTTAAGCTTCGATTGTTCTCGAATGTAGATTTTAATCGATTCGGCAGGCGTGCTTCAAAAATCGAAAAAATTTAATTTTAAACCAATTTTTTAATTATTTTACATTAAAATAAAAAAAAATATTGTAAATTTTTGCGTTGCAAGTCATACATACAAATTGATTTTTTAAATAGAAAATTTAAAAAATCAATTTGTATGTCCATAAAATCAAAATAATAATTTTTTCGGATTCGTTATGCAAAACAAAAAAAAAAATCATGGGCGTTTTGTTTTTCTCTTTTTAATTGTTTATAATTTTTGTTGTATTTTTTAAGTATAATATGAAAAATAAAATTGAATCATCAAAAAAAAAATAACTTGTGCAATATTATAAAAAAAAAAAGGTTATTGCTTAAAAAAAATTTTTATTGAAGAGAGAAAGAAACTAAGTAACTTTTTTGTTTTTGTACTCACATACTCAGTTGTACATAAGCAGTTGTACGAATGATCTCATTTATTTAGCATTGTATATAAAAAAAAATAAAAAAACATTGTTGAATTTTTCAAAAATATTTTTGTGATTTGAATAATTTTTAGAATTATAATTTTTAATAAATTAAATTAAACATTTCAAATACTCAATGAAATTTTGTATATTTAAATTATACTTAATTAAAAAAAATTCTAAATGTTAGAAATTCACTGAATCCGCGAATTCAATAATGAAAATTTTAGGTGAATCATAAGTATAAATGAAATATTTCAAAAAAAAATTTTCATAAAAAAAAAAAAAATTTTAATTTACAATATTAAAATTTTTTTCGATTGTAAAAATTTGATTATTTAAATTACATTGCTGAGAGAGAACTGTCAATTTTAACAAATAAAAGAACATTTTTGACAAATAATTTCTCTTAAAATTTAATCATTATTTGTCAATTTTCAATAAATTTTAATTTTAAATTGAGAAATTTTTTCTTTATGACATTTTTAGAGAGTATACAACAATTGAGAGCGCCTGAAAGTAAAAATCTGAGATTGTACATATCTAGACATGCAAACCAAGTGAAAGATCAGTTTCTTATCGCCATTTTGGAATTATTAAATGAATAAATATAAAAAAATGAAAATTAAAATTTTTATCGGGAATTTCTTAAATAGATATTTGAAAAAATTATTTCGAATGAAGAAAGTTACTAAAGAATTTCTTATTTATAATATTGCACAAAGTTAAGAAAATATTTTAGGTATTAATGAATTAAATTTAAAAAAAAATTAATTTAAATTATTTAAATTTCCAAAATAACTCGAATTTCTAGTATACATAATTATATTAATTTCCTTTATTAATATTAAAACATTTTAAGTATTAATTAAATTTCAATTATTTTTAAGAGCAATGACTTTATTTTCTAAAGTTTTTTTTTTTTTTTTGTAATTCTGTGGCAATAAATCAAACTGTTCAAAATCAGAATCGGAATATTTCATTTTCGGAAAAATTTAGTTAAATTTTTTTATTTAATAATTTCATATTTTGAGTAGTGTAGAATGTTCATTTCATACTAGATTATCACCAATATTCTGTTAGTCGCATCATTTGATGTGATGGTTTGGCATTAAAAAATTTTGTAATCTGAAAAAATAAATTCTAAATTCGAAATTCTTTTCAAAAAAAAGAAAAAAACTAAATTCTTTTTAATAATATCCCATCACCTCCAGTGATGCGACTAACAAAATATGGGTGTTTATTACTTTTTTTTCAAACCAAATTTGAATTGTATGAAATTTTCCTAAAGAAAAAAAAAAGCCCAATAATTTGACCAAAACTTTCGAAGATAATTTTTCTAAATTTAATTTGAACAACTACAAACTGTTCAAATTTAAATCGATTTTGTTGAATTATGATTTGGTTGTGGAGCAATCATTTGGAATTTTAATATGGCAATGCCTCATTTTATTTTTTAATTAATCTGACTTGGACAGCTTTTCAATTTATTGCCAAAGAATCAATTAACTATCAAAAAATATAATTGAAATAATAAAAAATATAATAGTTTTATTTAAAAAAAAGAAATAATTTTTTTTTTTCGATAGTGTTACCATTAGAAAATTACAGTTTTTGACCTGGCTTAGTAAAATACATTATCTTTCTTTTACGTTTTTTTTTGTTTTTTTTTTTTAATTAAAATTATAATTAATATTTGTTAATAATAATTTTTGGGTCCTTATCCCCCCTTCCTATAAATTTAATTTTTTTTTTCATTATAATTTTACTCAAAATTTTTTTTAAATAAAATTTAATTTAAAAATTAAAATTATTAAGAAAAAAAAACAAATAAAAAATTTTTTTGAAAAATAAACTTTCGAAATTTTCCCGTATTTTTTTTTTATTATAGCATTAAATTATAATAATTATAAGGTCGTCGTTAAATTATGAATAAAATTTTTTTCTCATAATTTGAATTTAGTCAATTAAAAATGTTAAAAAAACTAAAAATTTATAAAAAGAATAAATGAGAATAGCAATGACCGAATTATTTTCTAATATTTAAAAATAAACCCATAATTTGATAGGAAAATTGTGTTTTTTTTTTTGTTCATTTCGGAATTTCAAAATGCGTATAACAAATATTATTTAGTACTTCTTATACTCTACTATTATTGATTCAATATTATTTACTCGTGACGTCATAAACTATTATTATTTTCATATTATGCTTATATAATATTATAATCTTATATATTTAAATACAAAATTATAAATATAACAATTCATAAATTTTTGACCTTTCTTTTTTTTTATATTTTATATATATACATATACATATTTAAAATTCTTATTCAATTATAATAAAAATATAATAAAATATTGAATATCCTTACAGGCTTCCTTAAAAAAAATGTATGTATCATACTAAATTAATGTAAAAATTAAAAAATAAAAAAAAAACAAATAAATAAAATAAAAAACAAAATAGGCAAGCAACGTGATACTCATATGAATCTGTATAACACAAAAAAAAAAAAATAATCTACAAAAATAGAAATAAGAATTTGCAAAAAAAAAAATATTAAAAGTAATTAAAAATAACTACAAAAAGAAATTGGATTGCCGAATATTATAAAATAAAGAACAAAGAAAAATATACAAAAGAAAAGGAAAGAACGAAAACAAAATCGAATAATAATAAAAAAAAAGAGCAGGACAACGACAAAAAAATAAACCAAATTCAGTTCCTATAATTATTTACAACTGAAAAAATTAACAAAATTTTTGGAATTTACAATAGAAGAGAGGAAGAAACAGTAACAAAACAGTAAAAAGTAACAGTAACAAAACAGTAAGATAAAGTAAAAGAAGAACAAAAATTTCTTTCTTATGTTCAACAATATTTACATTTAAAAATATTTAAAACAAATTATACAAAATAATATTAAAGAAAAAAAAAAAAAAACAAAATGGCTTCCGGTGATTGTGATACAATTGAATTAGAACCAACAACTTATCATAATAATAAGACGAATAAAAAATTATCATTATTACCGCCAGCAATGACAACAACAATATTAAAAGATATTGATGAAATCACTGAATCAATTGATTCTGATGATCCAAAACAAAAATATAATATAAAACCAATAACAATTAATAGATTAAGTTCTAATACAGATGATGATAATAATGATGATGGTGGTGGAGGTGGTAGCGGTGTTAGCACTAACAATAGTAATCGTAATAGTGGAACTGGTGATAATATTATAAATATTCCAAATAGAGGAGGTACTAATTTTAATGATGGTAATAATTTAATTGGTGGTAATAATAATCAATTAGCAAATGCTAGTACAACATTAATACATAATGAAAGAGGACGTCATGAAAAAGAAAAAAAATTAGGACATCGTCGTGTTACACAAGCTGGTGAAATAACATATAAAAAAATTCAAACATCACATATTATGGGTTCAATACAATTAGGTATACAACATACTGTTGGTAGTTTAGCATCAAAACCAAAACGTGATCTATTAATGAATGATTTTTGTGAAATTGAAACAATATCATTTCCACCAGATGGTTCAAGTATAACACCAGCACATCATTATAGTGATTTTAGATTTAAAATTTATGCACCAATTGCATTCCGTTATTTTAGAGATTTATTTGGTATACAACCAGATGATTTTATGATATCAATGTGTTTATCACCATTACGTGAATTATCAAATCCTGGTGCATCCGGTTCAATATTTTATTTAACTGATGATGATGAATTTATAATAAAAACTGTACAACATAAAGAAGGTGAATTTTTACAAAAATTATTACCTGGTTATTATATGAATTTAAATCAAAATCCAAGAACATTATTACCAAAATTTTTTGGTTTATATTGTTTTCAATGTAATAGTAAAAATGTACGTTTAGTTGCTATGAATAATTTATTACCATCATGTGTTAAAATGCATTTAAAATATGATTTAAAAGGATCAACATTTAAAAGGAAAGCATCAAAACAGGAAAGAAAAAAAGAATCACCAACATATAAAGATTTAGGTGAGTAAAAAATTTTTCATATAAATTTTGTATAATTTTTTTTCTTATTTCAAATGTTTAGATTGTGTGAATATGAAGTCCACGAACAGTCGAGTCCAACAAAATTAACTAGTTTGTTCTGGCACATTTGTCTCCATAGACCATTTGTATGATTTTCTATAATTCATTCCAATCAATAGTTTTCAGTATTAAATGGACACGATTTTCAATGCAAATGGTTTTCAATTTATTTTAAGCTGCTTTCACTTATTTATATTCAAGGTCCTTTTTCGTTGAAGGCTCCGGGAGTTTATTAAAAAAGCAGTCACAATCACAAGAATGGCAGTGTCATATTCACAAATCTAATAAAAAAATTTTAATTTTAAAGTTCTTTTATAATATTTTGTTATTTGTCGGCGATTAATTACGACAGGCCTCATTAAAAATATAAAGTTCACTACAATGAGTAACAAAATTTTAAAAATGCACTGAAAATTCGGTTATTAAAATTCTCAAAACTTTTGTTCAAGTGTGTTGGATCTCTTCTTTCACTTCAATATTGCAAGTGAATTTTCAAATTCAAAAGAAAATCTGAATTTATCCACTATTTATTTAAATAATTTATATTAAAATAACAAAATATTAGAAAGAACACAATTTTGATTAATAGTTTTTAATTAACTTTTTTCCGAATAATTTTAAAATTTAATATAGATTTTATGGAACATCATCCGGATGGTATTTATTTAGAAGCAGATACATATGCCGCTTTAATGAAAACCATACAAAGAGATTGTACTGTTTTAGAATCATTTCAAATAATGGATTATTCTTTACTACTTGGTATACATAATTTAGAAACAGCTTCAAAAGAGAAATCTGATCAAAGATCTCGAACAATTAGATTGCAAACAAATGCAAAATTTGATCGAGCTGAATTAGATGATGCTCCAGAAGCTGATCAATTCATGATGGAACAACAAGAAGAGGCAGCTGCTGCTGCTGCAGCAGCTGCTGATCGTCATGCACATAAACAAAATCGTGGAATAAATCGTAATAGTTCAATATATAAATCATTTAATAGGCAACGTTTAGTTGCACATTCAACAGCAATGGAGAGTATACAAGCTGAATCTGAACCAAATGATGAAGATGATGATGTACCAATTGGTGGTATACCAGCACGTAATGAAAAGGGTGAACGTTTATTATTATTTATTGGTATTATTGATATTTTACAATCATATCGTCTAATTAAAAAATTAGAACATACATTTAAAAGTATTATACATGATGGTGATACAGTATCAGTATGCCGACCATCATTTTATGCTCAACGTTTTCAAAATTTTATGGCAAAAACTGTATTCAAAAAAATTCCATATCCATTAAAACAATCACCATCAAAACGTAAAAGCTTATCAAAATATAATCAAAATCAAAAACAAGTTGAACAATCAACAAGCGGAGTATATTCAACACCATCAACTAGTTCACAATCATATCATCCTTATTATCATCATCAAGGTCAAATAAGTGGTACAGGTGGCGTAGGTGGTGGTGGTGGCGGCGGCGGTGGTGGTGGCAGTAGTAGTGGTAGCGGTATTGGTGGTGGTATTTCTGGTGAACGTAGTAATATTGGAGGTATTAATGGAGGTAATAATAATAATAGTGGTGGTACATCATTAATAATGCATAAAAATACAATAAGAATTCCGCCCAATTCAAGATATAGTAATTCAGCAAATTCAGCACCATCATGTTCATCAACACCGCCCCCAGCATTTGATGATATATCAGAAAAAAGTTTACAAAGATCAAATTTTTCATATGATCAGCAACGTAGTCAAGATTCATCAGAACAAGGAAATTCTGATATAAATAACGATGAAAATGATTTACATATAACAAAATATACAACAAATATTAATAATAGTAATAAAATAACAGATCCAGATGCTGTTAGTATTTCACAAATTGTTGTCGAAAAAGTTTCTGTACGTGTCGAAAGAACAATACATTTAGATCAATCAGGGAATATAAGAAGATGACTTTATCTAGGATAAGAAATATTATTAATGATTGTCAATTAATAATGTGGAATATATGTAAAAAAAAATAAAACATGTTAAAAAAAGGAAAAAAAAAATGAAAACTAATTGCAATAACAAAAACCCATAAAAAAAAAATATTTTATGTTAATTAAATAACCAGAATATTTTTACAAACTACATTTATATTTTTTATAATTCATTAACAATTTCAAAACTACTAATTAATTACATTATTTATACTAATAATTGAAATTAAAAATTCAGATTTACTTTTAATTAATAGAATTCATGCTTAAATTTTTCTTTGTTTTATATTAAAAAATAAAGAATTTAATTAAATGTAATTAACAACTAAAATTATTTAATTTATTTTAAAATTTAAAATTCTCCATATTACAAATACTTATTTGCATAGTTCTCTATGCAAATTATTGAAATTCAAAACAATAATGAATTATATTTTATATAAATGGAAATTAAGTTTTAATCAACATATTAAATACAATATTATTTCATTATGTTTTCATATATTTAACATTATTAAATATTATTTTAAATATATATATACGTTATATAAAAAATAGTATGTTGAATTAACCTTAATATAATTAAATCGAAAATATTTTAACATCTTTTTTTTAAATGAGGAAAAAGATGAAATTTCTAAAATATTTAACGAAACATAAAAATTTATTACAACAAAAAAATAAATATTTATTTAATTATATAACAAAATATATACTAAAATCATTTTTATAAAATTAATTATTCATTTTTATCATATATCATAACTTCCAAAACGTTAGATTCTTTAAATTGTAAACATTTCATATAATTTTAAAGATTTACTTTTAATGATATACGCAATTATGTTCCAAAAAGTTTGATATTAAAACAGAAGTTCGATTTTTACACTAAAATATTGCAAAATTTTTGTTAAATTTTGTAATGTTTCATAGAATTTTTTGTTTTATAAATAAATTTCGTTATGAAAATGGAAAACTATCAGAATTCTAAATAATAGAAGTAAATATAAATATAAAATTTTGATAATAACTCTTATTAAATAAATTCGAAATGTAATGTCACAAATTCTAGCAGGATTCTATATTTGACACATTAAATAAATTATTGCATTTCGAATAATTTACTTTTTTACAAGAATCATATTGTATTTTGTATTTAATCAAGTTCTTGCTAAAAACTCAAATCAATGTACTAATTAGTAATAAGTAATATATTTATGATTATTATTATATATTAGTATAAAAATAATTCGTAAAAATATAATAATATAAATAGATTAACGAAAATTCTAGATTAATTAAAAATTTGGTAGGGCCTCCAATTTATATCTCAAAAAATATTATTAATATACTACATATATATTTTTTGTTATATACTTATTGATTTTCTAAAATCTATTATCTAGATATTTTAAAATTGAATTTTGTACATTTTTATTTGAAAGTTACAAAGAAAAACTGCTTGATGCATTCTTTTAGTAGTTTGGTTCTAATTATTGTTCTAATTTATAAAAAGAAATGTTTTAGGAGATTTAAAAATTACAAAATCTAATCAATCTCTTGAATTGTTCAAATTTTTCTTCAAATTTTTCTTCTTTTTCATTTTTTTTTTCTATTATCATCCCAGTGGATTTAATGTTAAACCAGTTAAATTACAAAATTTTATTGTAAATTATTTAATATTAATTATTAACTTATATAAACAATGATTTAATATTTTGCAATCAATTGTTAAAACAATAACCTATGTTTTTTTATAAAACTATTTATTGTAAACAGATTTGCAATTAAAATTTTTTTAATAAAAATTTCAAAATAACTTTGCAAAAACTCTTAATAATTTTTTAATATTGTATAATTTTAACAATTTCAATAATCAATTACGATCACAAAACTTATTGGAACTTATGAATCTAATATAGATCAACAGGATTTAATTTAGCATTAATAATAAAAGTAATAACAATTTTTGAAATACATTTATATTAAAGTAGAAGATCGCTTTTGGAAGTTTGATAAAAGAAAAATTTCTAATGTTTTTTTTCTTCTTTTATTTATTTTCTTTTCATTTTTCTTATCTAATAATAAATATTCATTAATTTAAAAAAAGAATGTCATAAAAATGAAAAGTTTTACCAAAAAATGTGATTTTGTAAATAGGTTTAAAAAATACACAACAAAATATATATAAAAAAAAAATAATAAATATGATAAAATATAAAAACACAAATGATAAATTGAAAATTTATATGGACTGATGAAAAAATTTTGAACAAAAAATTGTTAATAACCTTTATAAGAAAAAAACAAAGTTTTTTTTTTTTTGAAATTATGAAGTATAAAACTGTTATATTTAAATAAATTCACTTTATTATATGTAAATTTTTTTTTTTGTATTTATTTTAATAATTTGATAATTATTTATTTTATGCTTTAATCGTTTATTTTTAATTTGGGGATAGTAGAAAAATTTTGCATTTGAATTTAGCATTAAATTTTAACGATATTAATAAATTAATAAATAATTAAATAAAATAAATGTACAATTAAGTAAAAATTATTAATAAATAAAACAAAAATTAAATAAGTTTTTAGGAAATTTCTATAATATTGATTGATATGGGAGAATATAAGAGGAAAAATATGCTAGATTAAATTTTGTTTGAATAAAAATAACAATAGTATTTATAGTTGTTGCCGATTTTATTAAAATAATTTTTTTGGTTTATAATGCACCAAAATTAATTTTCAAATTTCAAGAATGCACGGGGTAAATGAAATTGGTTATACCATTGATTTGGAAAAGCTTAATTCTTAAAATAAAATTTACTTTTATTAAATATATTATTTAACTATTCCCAAATTTTTCTTATTTTTATTTTGATTTTCTAATAAAAACTTTTAAGAGGCAAGTAATATTATATGAATAGAATAAAACTTTAAAGAAATTACATTCAATCCAGTATTAAAATAAATTTTTATTATATATTTATATAAGTTCCAAAAAAAAAAAAAAAGATAATTTAAAAATTGACAAAAAATGTTTTGAAGTAGTTTTATATCGAGTACAAATGAATAAATAAATGAACTATTAATAATATACACTTTCTATATTAAATATATGTAAATAAAAACACAAAAAAAATTTTTATTAAAAATACTTAATTATATAAAGAAAAAAAAATTGGGAAATTAACAATTTTCTGTTCAAAATTCTATAATAATGAAAATAATAATAATAAAAATGAAATTAATTTTATTTTTTTAAATAAATTCTTTTGTATTGTTGCAAGGAGAAGGAAGTTTATTAAAAAAAAATATACAACTTTGTAAACGAACAAAAATTATATTTTATATTAAATAAATATTAAATTAATCATAATTTATATTTAATTTTTTTCTTTATTAACAAAATATTTATTAAGCAATTCATAAACAAATTGTATTCAATTGAGTGTTTTATTTATGTGTGGTTTTAATACTTCATTCATGAAATATTTTCAATATTTAACATATATTCACTTATGTCTATACTTTTAGATATATCACTTGAAATGTTATTATATTATTTATAAAATTTGTAATTTTCTAATAAAAAAAATTAATTTTAAAATTATAAATTATTGAAAACTTCAACTTTTTTAAAAAGATATGCAATTTTTCAAGATCTAAGAGTCTGTTAGTTTATAATCAGAACATCCCTGATTATAAAAAGATCAATGATTTTAATATTTCTAAAATGTTATTCAAAAAATCTTATACAATGTTAATAAACTTATATTTTCTAAAAATATGGTTTAAATTTAGTTTTAATTCAAAAATAAATACATTTATAATTATTTCATCAATGAATTGCTTAAAAAATCTTCAAATATTTTAAAGATGAATGTCTTAAAACTTATATTCTAAAAAAAAAAAATATTAAACGATTGCAATATTATACTATAGGAAAAAGAAGAAACTATATATAAACATATTCAATATTTTAAGTATATTACAATGTTTTTTTTTATATAATATATTTATACATAAATATTATAATTTAGATTTTAGAGGGCATTATTTTAATGTAATATATTATAATGTACACATTTATTAAAAAAACAACAAAAAGTCTTAAAATATGTTTTTCATAATATTATCGCAATCATATTATAACATTATATTCACCTACAGATATTCTGTTAAACGTATCACTTGAAGTATTGGGATATTGTTTAAAAGAATAAAGTTTTTTGGTTGTAGAATCTGAAATCTTAATACCTCAACATACTTCAAGTGTTGCATATTATAAAAAAATTTATATTATACATATTTATATACATACTTTATATTATACATAATATTTATTAGAATGTTAAATAAAAAATTGTTTTAAATTATTATTTCACATAAAAAATACTCGAAAAAATATGTATGTACATTTATTAAACATTGTTTTTTGAAAAAATTCTAAATTTCTAAATCATTATATACTCTGAAATATTAATCTAGACTTATGAGTTATGAGTTAATAAAAAAAATTACTTTTAAAAAACAATTAAAAAGTAAAAAGTATTTGATGCAATTGTGTTGGCCGTGGTTTAATTTGTTTTGTTTAATGTCAAATTTTACTGTCATTAAATTAAATAATCATTTTATATTTCAAGCATCAATCTCTCGAATTTATATTAATTCCCGAATTAATATAATTATTAATATTTTTATTTGCAATTGTAATTTTTACTTAAATTTATTAACAAATATATTATTTCCGAAATTGATAATATAATTTATATAGCATAATTTTTCCTAGTAGTACACCAATATTTTTTGCAAAATTTTAGATTGCATAAAACAAACTGGCTTGGAAAAGCAATTAATGCAAATAATGTTTTTTTGTATCATTATGTATAAGATATTAGAGAATATCAAAGCGGCGCTAAAAATTTTCCTATAATTTAGATTTTTAATTATATTGACATTCTTAATTTAGAAAACAAAACTTTTTCCTAATTTCCATTTTAATATTTTTAATAGATATAGGTTTTTATTTACAATAATCAAAGAAATCTATTTATACCATTAAAATAATATTGATTTAATATTTAATGTTTTATTTTAGATTGTAAACAAAAAAAAAAATGAAAAGGGTTTAACCCTTATGAAAGAAATTATAATTTATTGATTGTTTATATTTTAATATTTTTCTGTATTTCCTATATAATTTTCTTATTAATTTTATTGGAAATTCATAATGAAATTCAGAAAAAATTTATATTTGGTATACATAGTATTAAA